AGAGGCACGAACAGAACTAAGAGAGCTTATTGACTCTCTTATAGATTTAAGAAAGGTAAATGAATTCTTGTAATAAGGTGTTAAATTTGCTGACATCAATCTAAAGTAGATATGTTTAGGGTCTATGTCATGAGAATGAGAATATTGCTATCTCTGAAAATGCTGCAAATAGTCGAAAGCGACATATAGAGGACGATGATTACCTTGAGTATCTGTGGAAAGATTTGAAAGAGATTAATGACTTATTTTTACCTTTTCGGACCCAAACAATTGAAAAGTGGAGTAATAAAGTTCAAATAGCGTCTGGTATACCTCTTAATAAAAAGTTTAAGGCCATCAATCAAGGTGTTAATGATCAAATTGCACATGTTTTATGTGATCGAGAACGATTGATTAAGAGGACACAGTTAAAGAGAAATGCAGACAAAATTTTAGGAAAAGCAAGTTTATTCATATATATTATTTGCCTCTTTATTTTTCTTGCCTATTTTTTTGGACTCATTTGGTAGTTACATTTAGGGATCTCCCAAATTGCAAGAACTTGGCGCAAGGACGTATGATGAACATCTAACAAATTACGATATAGAAATATTTGACGATACAGATTTCTATCAACAATTGTTACGTGAATTGATTGAAAGTCGTATGATAAATACTGGTACGTCAATTTCTCATATAAAGGGAGTGATGATATTAGCAAAGTTAATGTTATTGAATTTCATTTTCTTTGTTTAGACGATCCTGTCGCGTTAGGTTTACGTTGGGCAACATTAAGGCAGACTAAACAAAAGAAAAAACATGTAGATACTAAAGCTAGCAAAGGAAGACGATTAAGGTAATATTTAGGTTATATATTTCTAAATAATTACATTTTTTTTTATTTGCGTTAATTTTTTCACTAGGTATCATGTTCATGAGAAATTGCAGAACTTTATGGTCCCAATTCCCTCTGGTACATGGCATGACAACATGATTGATGAATTGTATTCGTCATTGTTAGGTAAGAAAAATGATGGATTGGATACTGATGAAAGCGAGGGAAAAGAGTTGAATGATAATACCGTGGAGGTAGAATTGGATGGACTACGTATTTTCGGAAGTTGAAAATTTTATTACTTTTAACAATAAATTTATTTATACTAGAGATGTGATCCGTAAATTACAATACATATCAATAAACTGTAGTTTATTTATTATAACTAATAGTTTATAGTTCGTGCCTCTAATTTATACAAACCGTATTTTGGAGGATTTTTTTTTTTTTTAAAAAAAAAAACTTTAATATTTTGTTTAATTTAGCAATAGTTAAAATGTCAAAATAAGAATACCTAATATTGTTAATAGTTATCCCTCTTTATTATTTGTTAGTTAAAACATTTAATGAGGCTAGAAAGAAGGAAAATATTTTATAATAGTTGAGGTTGTAATTACAAAGTTTTAGAATATTATCAAAATTTAAAATATTAATTGATAATTTTTCAGTAAATTGAAGAATTATCATAGTGTAATGCAACATGGTTTTATATATAAATCTTTTAAGATGGAAATGTGGCATTCGTTTAAGAAAATTTCTTTTTTTTACTAAGTAATCATTTTTGAACTTCTAATAAAAGTTGTAGAGCTTATTAAAATGCATCTAATGGTGGTAAGAACTTGAGGTGTAACTGTTCTTGGTTATACAAAATGCAGATCACTTCTGACAATTTACATCATCAATTGACCAATCAAATTCATGAATTTCAATAATTATTTTATTCAGTCTTATGTAGTATTGCTTGCAAAATGCAACTTTTTTATAGCATAATTACAGTCTGAAAATATACCCGATTAGAAGGATATCTAAAGCTATATTCAGCACATGTTTTTTGTTTAATTAAAGTTAGGATAAGAATTAGTTTGTAATTAGGATCAAAACTAAAGTATAGTGCTATAATTAGTTTTTTTTTTTTTTTTTTATAGTCAAGGTTAGCCTCTTTGGCTTATCACTTGTGCTATAATTAGTTATGTTATGTCAAAATTGTCATAATATAATAAAATCATTAATAAAAATATGTAATAATATAATTTCGATATAACATAATAATTATGGCACCATACTTTAATCAAAACACATATTATAGTAAAATTGTCTTCCCAACATTTTTTATTAATGTATCAAGATGGGTTTAGACTATCATTTTTTATATTTTTTGTGATTTTTACTTTTTTTTGCTATTTTTTGTCTCTTCAGACTGATCTGTATTAATCAAAATAAACAATTCTATTGGCTTTAGATTATGTAATGGATATAGTTTTAGGCAATCCTCTGATTAAGAAATTGGGTTTTAAAATGATCAATGAGAAAATTTATAACTTTTATTGGGTTTTATATTTTTTTTACTCAACTTTGAGGTTTTACAATATTTTGTATATTCACTGTTATTAAATAATATATAATTATTTCCACATGGTTACACAAAAATTACTATTTTTAGCATTTAATATAGAAAGTATAATAAATTAATATAAAAAATTAATTTTTT